ACAGCTATTCTACAAGGCTCACAAAAATTGCCACTGTCGGAATGGAAACGAATTTTGCTAGAAATTGATGATCGGGTGATTTCGTCCGGAACTATGCAACAACTGAGGAATGCGTTACCGCCACATGAAACTTTAGAAAAGCTTCAGCAGGCCGCTAAAACTCATTTCAACGAAATGCCAGAAGGGGAGCAGGTGATTTCACAAATTTCAAATTCTTTCAAAGACAATGCATTATTATCAGAAATTTGAATAGATTTAATCGAATTTATGTGGAATCGCTCGCGACTGTCGCTCTAGAACGTGTAAGATTTGGACGCAGTGACATTCGTTTCTCATTAATTCCCATTAATCCCTATATCCAATGTTTTTCTTTGTCATCTAAATTTCGTCATAGAGAAGTCTTCAACTTGTGTTATAATAACTGTGATAAGGTGGCTTTGTCGGCAGCCAGTTGCGGTACACAGCTGACAAAAGATAATACTAAAATTTTAGATCTCCAGCTTTTTCGGCAAATTTGAAAATATATCAAGTTGTGATATGTGCAGTTTATGTGTGAAGAAAATTTCCTTGCTCGTTCTGGGGTATTTGCTGCATACTGTATTGTTTTGCAGTTTGCTGCGACGCTCGCATCGATAAAGGGCTTACCAGCACGGCTTGATTCGATGATCTTCATGCTTGAATTTGACAGAACTATCAGCGATCTCAAGCCGGTCTGATTTTTTTCACCGTTTCTGTTATCCTTACTTTGTAATTATTAGTATTTCTTCTTTTGCTAATGTAATCAGCGCTATTATCATGCGCTTTTCGCTACAACAGTGATGCCGTTTGTATTTTTGCCCGAAATTTTACGGAGACGCTTCATGTCCACATGCAATCCCGCAGATTCGGATTGTATTGGAGTTTTGTTTTTTATGATTCTTGGAAAATGTTTCTCTTGGCAGTGCAACTCATTGTTGTTCACATCTTTTGTATCACCAAGCTAGCAGTTTCTCCCTCGGTTTTCGAGAAAATGTTAATTACATTTTAAACTTTTGTAAAATTGAAGTGTTAATGTTTCAGAATATATCCGCAGTCATCGAAGCATGTGATGAAATTCGGACGTCAGCTGGTTTCAGGATGTTTTTGGAGATGGTGTTGCTGGTTGGAAACTACATGGGACATTCATCGAAAACTTACAAGGATACATTTGGTTTTGAAATGAGCGTTTTGACAAAGGTATGATATTGCTCAGAAACATAAAATTTTCAGGATTACTCCACGTGTCCCTTGACTGACTTATGGGAACTCAAAGCTAGTGCTGTTGTTGGGGTGCATTCTGTTCTAGGAATATCGTGCGGTGTTTTATTAATTCTCTGAAAGTAAGCGCATGGGTCTTTTCCCGGACAGTCAGTTACTGGGTTCTTTGGGCTTATCGAGATCAGCTGATCAATGGCGGAATTGTTCAAATAATCAAGATTTTTTGGCACTCTTTCGTCTTCCAGATATCGATTCGCTTTTGTAGGTCGGACTGAAAGGTATCTGTGGTAATAACACCTCCCAGTTTCCTTTATTTTGCAATTTCCCTCATGCCACGTCGCATAAAGTGCGTTTTGCATTTTTTGTGCCTAATAATGCATAGTTGCATGACCTCTCCCGCATTTTCACTTGATGCCAGGCTGACAGTTATCTGCGTCATCTGAGCTTAGCTAGACAATATGCAAAACGATCCTTTCCCAAAATGATTTGCGCTGCCATGTCATTGTAATTTTAATTTTAGATGATGTGTACTTATGTAAAAAGTAAGGTTTAAAAGGAATAAAAGGAAGGTGGATAAGATAAATTGGATTAAAAAACCTGAATGGGACTGTTTCGGTCCTTTAAGTCGCATACATTCCTGTTCAGTGCTGCAACTGGACAACTCGTCAGTGTGACGATTGCAGCAAAATTAACATGCAAAGTGTCAAAAGGAAAAAATTGGCCAACGCACGGGCTGCCCGTGCGAAGATGCGTTTTTTGCAGAGTTCCCCG